GGGGCCGACCGGGTCCGGGCGGCGGGCTGAGCAGCAGGTAAGACGCGCGGGGCCTCCTTGGCGACACCTGCGCGTCCCGGGGCGGCACCGGAGAGGCTGGGGCGCGGGGCCGGGACAAAGGCGCGGGCGGAGGCCGGGCACCTGGCTGGGCCAGTCCCCGCGGAGGCGGTGAGCTCTGCACCGGCCGGGGTCGGGAGGGCCCGGGCGCCAGCCAGCGCGGCCTGGCAGGGAACGCGTCTACGCGGCCTGCGGAGGGGCAGGCCCGGCGTCCGTCCCCGACCCGCGGTGATTCAGGCGGCGCCTCCCTCCCGCGGCCCGGCCTCCTCCTCCTCTCCTTATTCCCTGCGCCGCCGCGGCCCGGCCTGCTCTCGCCGTCCCTGGCCTCGTTCCGCCGCTCCCGCCCGCCTCCTCCCGCCTCACCTCCGGGCAGTGGCCCTGCCTCCGCGGAGGGGACCAGTTTGGGGTGTTTATTAATCCCTCTCCTAGCAACGTCGGCCCGGCCAGCCCAGCCCACACAGGCGCAGGTTGTGGAGAGCGCGGTCCGTGCCCTGAGCCTGGTCCGGTGGCTTGGCCCGGCTCAGCCGCATGGCTTCTCTCTGCTACGGAACAAGGCTGCGGCCTCCTCTGGGCGCGTCCCCGGTCCCCTGGCAGGTTGGAGAGTGAGGCCTGGCCGGAGGCTTCGCGGAGCTTGCTTCTCCCCAGCAGGGTTAGGGGTTCCCAGGAGGTGCGGCTGTGGTGGCACTGGCATCTCTGTGATGTAGAAGCTGCAGGGGCACCAATGCCTCCCCTCTAGACACCACTGCTCCCTCTTCGAGGCTGGCACCAGCAAAATGGGGCCATGATGAGGGCTCCATTGACGGGGCTTACCCGTGGTGCAGGTTCCCCTGCATCTTGATGGTGTGTCAGGTGTGTAGAGGGATTCTCGTGTGGTATCGCAGAGGGGTGGAGCCTGGCGACGGTCTGCAGCCTGCCCACTACACGGGAACTGAGGCCTGACCACAGGTGCTGGAGGAGGCCCGCCTCAAGGGCAGAATGGCCAGGGTGACCCTGGGTATAGGATCCTGTGTGGATGCTCTGCCTTCCTGCTCCTCTGACCCAAGTATCCAAGTCCAGGCCATCTCGCGAGGTGACCCTCCCCTCCCTCTTGCACTGCTCACCTGGTCTCACCCAAGCTCCTCTCCCTGCTTCCTCTAGCTGTCCTTTGTGCAGCAAGTGCTACCCTCTGCAGGGGTCCAGGAGCCCCAGCCCGCTCATGGGCATGGGATTTGTATGCCGGCTCAGCCTCTGCCCAATCCTGCACTCAGGCTAGAAACTGCCTCCTTTCTGAACAGGCCCTGCAGTGTTCCTTTGCACCGAAGCCCACAGTGATGGTGCAGTCCTGGCCCCAGGCACCTTCTTCTTACCCCAGGACCCTCAGGGACATGTGAGACTGAGTCCCTCTGCTGTGCCACATCTTCATACTGCTGGTTCCTACAGTGGAGTGCTGCCCCCACCTGCTGGGCTGAGACCCACCGCCCTTGGTGCAGGATCTCTATATCCTGGCCACAGCCACCTCAGCCCAGGCCACTCCAGCACACAGTGTGCAGGACATGTGTCATAGTGTGTGTCAGTCTGTGTCAGTGCTCTGGGTGTGCACCCAGTGCAAAGAGGGCCTTGGGCCACCAGGGCATGGCCTTAGGGTGACGGGTCCTGGCTGTCACTCAGGCCCACAGTGTCCCTCTTGCTATCATGGTGCTCCCTGCCTGGCCTATCACACTAGCCATCAGCACTCTTCTTTACCAATGCCCCTCTTCTGGGCACTGCATGGGCTGCCTGATGCCTAAACTGTCGATACCCCTGCTTGTGTCCAGCAAGGGATGTGCTGCCTCCTCCCAGTGGTGGGTACAATGAAGGCTCAGAATCCCTCTCCACTCATGTCCCAGCAGCTGTTCACTCCAGGATCCTTGTCTGTGTTTGGTCTGAGGGCCCTTCCGGGGGAAGTGGGCCTTCTGGGTCAGGGTTTGTGTGCTGGTGGATCCGCTCCTGGTAGACCACATGGACATGTGTATCTACACACAGGCAGTATGGCTGGTGTCCACTGAGCCTTGAGCCTGGCACCTAAAGAGAGAAGGGACTAAGTGTGGTGGGATCTAGAAGACAAGACCACTAGGTGAAGGGTCCGCAGGAGTGACTGGTCAGGAAGACAGGCCATACAGGACAGACCTGACCCTGGGACCTGGGCTGTGCTCAGGGAAGGACAGGCAGCCTCGTGTACAGACATAGGTACCCTGCAGCCCCAGAGCACACAGACCAGCATTTCCAGAGGAGGCTGGCCAAAGCCTCAGAGGGTAGATCTGTGCTGGGCCTTGAGTGGCCTAGGGGCGGGCCAGCCTGGGGAACCCCACTCTGATGACTGCCTCCCTCCAGGGCCAGACGGGCCTCACCAGCGCCAACATGAGTGTCACCTCCTGGTTCCTGGTGAGCAGCAGCGGTACCCGCCACCGGCTCCCACGAGAGCTCATCTTTGTGGGGCGTGATGAGTGTGAGCTCATGCTGCAGGTGAGTGGCTCCTAGGGCTGTGAAGAGACAGGCCCAGGGCTACGATGTGCCCACCTGCTGCGGGGCCCAGCCGCAGACATCTCCACCTGGGTTCGGGGCCACGGATGAGCCCCGCGGTCTCGTGACACGTGTAGGAATGAGACCCACCGCCCTTGGTGCAGGATCTCTATATCCTGTGCTCTGCACAAGCCTGGGCTCAGTCAGACCTTGACCCCCATGCAGTCCCAGCTGTCCATGCAGACCCTGGGGTACAAGAGACTCCCACGAGGCAGCCCTGCTTAGGCTAGGGTGGGTGGTGCCACAGCTTACTTACCCTAGTAGCAAGTATGAGGCCATGTCTGCCAGGGCCCCTCTGTTGTGTTGATATTCTGCCTGCCTCTGTGTGGTTTGTCCTCTTAAAATCATGTAAGTACTTGAACTTAGTTCCCAGGGGGCAGTGTGGGAGGTGACACCCTAGGGGGCGATTAGGGGATGAGAGTCCTCATGCATGGGATTGGGGCCTTAGGAACAAGCTACATGGAGCTTGTCCAACCCTTCCACAACTAAAGGCTCATCTGGAGCAGAGACAAGGTCTCTGTCTTGGGTACCTTGGTGTGGCTTTCTGGCCCAGTACTGAGAGCAGTACTTGCTTGTACATTCTCCAGTCAAAGGGGTTTTGTTCTAGCCGTGGATGAGCCAGGCTCCCATGCTCCAGCTCCTTGCCTGAAGTCTGCTAGTGTTCCTGGACCCAGACCCAGCTACTCTGCCCAATTGCTGGGGTGTTCATACTCTGAGGTTCCTTTGACTCAGAGCTCTCCGCTTCTATCCTGTTCTCTGCAACCCCTGGGGAGCACAGGGAGGTAGCCCATGCATGAATTGCAGGTATGTCCTGTGATAGGCTTTGCTGGCTCTGTGGTTCCGTACCTGCTTTTGGCCTTGTGTCCCTAGTATGAGGGTGCCATAGATTATGTGCACCTAGGAGCGAGGCAGGCAAGGTCATGCTTATTTAGGGGTGCTGGGTGCTTTCCTATGACTTTTACAGGACACAGGTAGTCTCTTGATTTTTAATTATTTAAAAGCATAAAAATGGTAAACACAGGGTCTGTCCCCAGCCTCGTAGCTAGGTCTGCCAGATTGTTCCAGGGTGTGGCCCAATGTGCATGGTGTTGGTGCTGGGGTATGCAGTGCTCCTGGGGTCACCAGGAGGACCTCTTGGAGGAGGTAGCACCTTCGGGCCTATTGTAGTCACTTTCCTTGTTGCTGAGATAAATAGCCAACAATCACAAGTTAAAGGAGGAAATGTTTATTTAGCTCATAGTTTGTAGAGGTTGTAGTCTGTAGCTGATTGGGTCTAAGACAAGGCAGCATGGCCCAGGGGGATCACAGAGGAGAAACAGTCCATGGAAGGGCGGGTAGGAGGCAGGGAGTACAACAGCAACAAGCTGGCCTTCTTTCTGTCCCTCTGTATTCCGTCCAGGACACAAGCCTATTGCTTGGAGCCACTCTTTCCCAGGGTAGGGCTTTCAGTATCCATACCCTCAATCACAGTGTCACATCCTTAACCCATATTCACAATTCCTAATGCAGCTACCTTAGAAACCCCCACCTATGAACACATGAGACCCGAGGGATTTCTAGATACAAGGGCTTTAGAGAAGAGCTGAGGTGAGCCTAGAGTGCTGGAGCTCCTCCATGTGCCTGGCTCTGTGCCTCCCTGCTTTCCACTTTTCCTGGGCACTGGGGAGAGGTCATCTGGGGGTCCCAGTGTCCACATTGTTTGGGGCCCTGTCCTCATATCTTAACCCTTTGGTGGTGCAGCCCTGAGCATGGCAGGAACAACAGTAGCTTCCAGGCCTCTGTGCCAGGCAGCTCCTGCCTTGGTTGCACCTGTGCCTCTGCCCCACAGTGGTAGCATGGCTGTGTAAAAGGTGTGTAAAAGGTGTCTGTCTCACACTGGGAGACTAAGGCTGGGGAGCATGTGTGTGGGCACAGCACAGGAAGGCTGCACACTGCCCGGCACTGCTGTCTGTAGCCCACACCCTCCCCCCAGCCTTCTCTACCCACCTCCCCTTTGGGCCACTTCTGCAGAAAAGTCCTCAGTGCCACATCACCCGCAGCCCCAGATCCCCATCCCCAGTCCTCTTTACCCCATCCTGGCTGGTGCCACCCTCCGAGCCCTCGGGAACCTCGCATGTGTTGTTGCCCTTCCTGGGACCTGCATGCTCACTTCCTCCAGCCTTAGCTTCTGTTCAATGGCCAGATGAGGTGCTCACAGTCCTGTGCCCATCCTGTCCTCAGCTCTGACTGGCTGCACAGCTGCCGCAGGCCTCTCAAGGGTGGTTGAGCCTCAGGGTCACCCTCTGTTCCCTTCACTTTCTCCATGGCCAGGCCCCCACCCCACTTCATCCTGCCCCCACCCCACACCTCAGCTCCCTGAGCCGTGCTTTCCACCCTCAGCCTCACGGAGGGTGGCCCTATCTGTCCCCATGTCCCAGACCCTAGTTATCTAGGTAGAAGTGTGCCTTCCATCCTGGACCCCCTCTCATCACCACATGCCCAGCCACTTTCTCTGCTCACCCAGAGGCACCCTGCTCCTGCTCCACACACGTCTGTGGCCTCCAACCCCTGTCCTCCATGTCTGCATGGAGGAAATGCTAAGAAGGCAGCACTGTACCGAACAGCTCTGTGAGCGGGAACAGGCTGACAGAAAGGGGAAAAGGGGTGGCAGTGGGAGGACACAGCCCCCTGGGGGGCAGCCTGAGGCTAGGCCTAGGCCAAGTAGGCAGGGCCATGGGGAGCCCAGCTGTGGCCACCCCCCTGTCTACCCACCTCCCACAGCAGGCTCTAGTTTGCTTGTAGTAGCATCCAATCCCAGGGCAGGCCTGGCATAAGCTGGTACCCATGAGAAAGTACTGTATGATGCAGGCATGTGCACACCTATGTGTGTGTGTTTGCACTGGCCTTTATGTGCACGCCTGGGCCCGCTCCCATGTGGCCAGGGCCTTGTCCCCAGACACGCACTTGCTGGGTCCCCACTGAATCACAAGAGCGCTGGGGATGTGGCTCCTCCCCCCAAAACCTCTGCCCCACCCCCTTTGGCCTGTGGCTGTCCATGGGCACATGTGACAGCTGGGAACATGAGCAGGAGCTGCAGCCCAGAGCAGCCTTGGGGCCTACACATGGCCCTGGTCTGCCTGGTGGCCAGCTGCAGTTCCTGTAGCCTTCCTCGTGACAGCGCTGGGGATGGGCTGGTGGGAGACTGTGCCACGAGTCGTGGCTTGCGCCTCAGTAGGGCAGACTTGCACAGCAGGACGGGCTCTCCCCCATAGATAGTGTTAGACTCAGCATGAAGCACTTCTTTATTTTGTTCGAAAGTGAGTCCAAGTCTGCCTCCCTCTGTCCATGTGTTTGGAACCCATCTGCCCCGCTTGCGTTGCGCTGGGGAGCTCCTTTCAGCAACCCCTCATGAGCCCTGGTCACCCCTCTTCTGGGTGGCTGGCATCCAGCCCTGAGTATGTGGGCACGGCCAGGTGGGGCTTTGTTTCTGGCCCGCGGTGTCTGGTTGGCCCACGAGGAAGGTTGCTAGAAGGGGGCCCTGAAATGCCAGCACTCTTAGCTCTCACCGGCCGATGCTTGACGGCTTCCAGCGTTGGTGGGCTCCCCTGCCTCTCGGGTCCCTGGCCTGTAAGCCAGCAGGGTCCTGATAGAAGCATGTCTGGGCCAAGGCCCTTTCTGCTGTGGCCTCCTGGCCCCGATGTGGGCGTCACTGCAGCCCAGGTGTGTGTGTTAGGCCAGGGACTCAGAAAGCTATCGCCTGATGAAGCATCTGCTGAGAGAAGGAAAATGGGCACAGGAAGGGTGGTAGTCCTGGAAGAGGGCATTGTATGGGCTGAGACCAAGGGCACACAAAGGCGTGGTGCTTCCAGAGCCCCAGGGTGCTGTAGGTAGAGCCCTGTGTGGCCTGGGGAGGAGAGGGAGGTCTGAAGAGAGCCCTGGCACTTTCAGACCAGGACCAGGGAGACCCCAGGAAATAGGAGCAGGAATCTGATGGTGGCAGGAGGGGCCCCTGTCCAGGCTGGGAAGGTCACTTGGAGGCCCCACGAAGGGACATTCCTCAGCAAGGGTGATGGCCACTGCAGTTGGTCCTGGAAGAAGCTCTAGCCACTTCAGTCTGAGAGCTTCTTTGCTGTCTGTAGGGCTCCGTGGCACCCAGTGGGACTTGCAGTAAGCCCTGGCCAAGTGTGCCCAAACCAAGCCCCTGTGTGTGCCCTGGGTGCCAGAGCCACGAGAAGGGCTGTGCAGTTGTGGGAGCCTCTGGGGGAGGACCAGCTGCAGGGGACTCGGGTTTGTGCCACCATTTGTGGATTGGGTGGTCCTGAGTCGGGAGGGGAATGATCCTCCATCCCCCTGGAGGCTGACCTGGTATCTTCTGGGGGCACTGCCTGCTGGTCCTCGGGCTAAGTGCTTGGTGGCTGGGTCCTGAATTGGCTGGGTCTGCTGGCCTTTCCTGGCCTGGGCCCTGGCCTGTGGCTTCCAGGTGGAGGGGTTAGGGACCAGGTCGTAGGTGGCGTGGGATAGAGGTAGGCAGTGGAGCTCTGCACTGAGACCATGGGCCTTGTGGCCTGGGTGACATGGACCCCTGCTGCGGCTCCTGAGCAAAGAGAATGTGATCTCATTCTTGTCTCCATCTGGGCGGGAAGTGGAATGCTGCAGCTGGACAACTGAGGTGACTGTATGAGGGAGCTGTGGTTACTCCCTTAGGGAGGGTCCTGGCCAGGCTGGTGGCCAGGGCAGGGGAGCCCCACTCAGGGTAGAGGGCCTGTGTACATGCTGAATTTGTGTGTGTGTGTGCGTGCGTGTGTGTATATGTGCACGTACGTAGTACAGGCACGTGAGGGCAGGTGCTGGGGCCTCGTCAGGGCACGGGGCTGCAGGAGCCTCCGTATGCACACTCGCCCTTGACCCAGAGGCTGTGCACCCAGCTCTGCTCCGCCAGAGCTGGAGCAGATCACCCCCGCCTGTCCTTGGGAAGGACCAGCTGTCTGGATAAACAATGGGTTCTCAGACTCCCACTGTCCACCCAGAGAGGATGCTGGAACAGGAGGGGAGATGGGGAAAGAGGTCATGGAGGAGGCGCCAGAGTGACCTCACACACAGGGGAGGTTGCCTTGGTGTCTTGTCTAGTCCCTGTGGTCTGAATGGGGCCGGGTGGCTTTAATGGGCATACAGTCTATGTAGGTGGGGTGGGGATCAGTGGCCCTGATGTCTTCTCTAGTCCCTGTGGCCTGCATTGTGGCTGGGTGGCTTTAGTGGGTGCACACTCTGTGTGTAGGTGGAGGTCAGTGGCCCAGCGGCCAGTGTTGGATGGTGTGATGGGCTGTGGGCAGCATGGCTGCCTCTGGCTCCTGGACTCACCTCCTTAGGATGGGGTACCTGAGCATCCTCTCTGTGTCTCTGTAGTCCCGCAGCGTGGACAAGCAGCACGCAGTCATCAACTACGACCAGGACCGTGACGAGCACTGGGTGAAGGATCTGGGCAGTCTCAATGGGGTGAGTATTGTGGCTCTGCCCTGGTGCTGCCTCTGGGCCCACGACCCATTCCAGGCCTGCTCTGCAGGGTAGGTTGGGGGTAGAGGTAGCCCCTTGGAAAAGGCCCCACAGGCCAGTACTTGGTCTCCTGGGGTGAGGCTGGCCCCCAGAGTGTAGTCTCTTCAGGCTGGGCAGACAGAAGCTGGGAAATGGCCTCCCCAAGGTAGAAGGAGCTATACCAGGTACCCTGATTGGGTATGGGGTGGGGGTGGGGCGCTGTGTGGCCTTTTTTATGAATCGTGGCTGCAGGGGCTGGGCGGGAGCTGGTATGGGGTAAGGGATGTGGGGGCCACCCCACCATGCATGTCTGTCCTGGAGGAACCTGTCTGTGCATCTCTCTGCGGATACACAGGCATGCTGGGACACTGTTCAATGAGAAAGCAAGCCGTCAGGTTCTGTTGGTTCATTGCCCACACAGTTCTGAGCCAGGAGTCCCCAAGCCTTGGGGACCCCACCTCTGCTCCATGAGCCTGCAGCAATCTCTGGATGTTGCTCTCAATGCCCCTCAAGGTACTCCCACCCAGATGGCCTCAGGTTGCCCTCCCTCGTGCAACCATCGGTGGCAGCAGCCCTACTCACCCAGACTGCATGACAAGCAGGCTTCCCCTGTGCTGTCCACAGCGCCTTCAGTGCATCCCTAGGCTGCTGTCTGGATGTGCAGGGCCAGCACTGAGAGGTCTGCAGGGCAACATGGAGCTGTGACCTGCTTGTGGGACTCTGGTCTGCTGTGGACAGGTTGCAGAGAGGGTCTGCAGAGCTCAGGTGCTGTCCCTCGTTGTCCCTGTCTCTCAGTTGTATGGCCACCTGTTCCTCCACAGACTTTTGTGAATGATGTGCGAATACCAGACCAGAAGTACGTCACACTGAAGCTCAATGATGTCATCCGCTTTGGTTATGATATCCTTTCCTCTGGCACTCAGGGCAGTTTCCCTGTAATCCTGGAGGAGGGTGGGTGTCTTGGAGGTCAGCGTGGGTCTTTAGGTTCGGTTAGCCCACACAGAGTAAGCCCATGTTTGGCCTCACTCATTTGCTGAGCCCAAGTTCACATGCGTCTGAGGAAACTTGGGACCCCATCGTGGCTTTACCTTGAGGCTTCTGGGTAGAACACCATTCTGGACATGGGCCATCACTGACCCCCCCCCAAGAGGAAGACCCCCTCACCCTGGGTCCAGGTCTTTTGCTCTGCCTGTTGTCTGTTGTCCTGAACGGTGCCACATTCCAACATGTATGTGCTGGAGCGAGTGCAGCACCGTGTGCCTGAGGAAGCACTCAAGGTGGGTCCTGGCGAAGAAAGTGGCCTGAGTGTCCCCACTGCCAGGCCCAACTTCTCCAAGTCCTAGCCTAGAGTTTCCACCTGCACCTGGAAGCTCTGTTCCCTCAGCAGATACCCCTGTCCTCTGGAGCACCCTGTCCTGGCTGCTGGTGCCAGGAGTTAGCTGCCCTGTCCTGCCCTGCCCGCTGGCCCAGTCTGGTGGGTGGGGAAGTAGTCAGCGCCCTCCAGGCTTGTGCTGGGACAGATGGTGGGGACAGTGGGCTACAGGCTAGGCACTTGGCCTGCTGGGGTTAAGGGGCTTCCAGGGCCTGGTCTTGTGCCCTGGGTACGAGGCCTGTGGTTCATCAGGTGAACTGGTATCAGGGGGCCCTGAAGGAAGCAGAAGCTCCACTGGGGACGGAGTGCACGTCTGGGGTAAGGAGGGTGAGCGGGGCTCCGGGACCCCACTCTGCCAGGCCTCTTGCTTGTGGGGAGCATGCTGAGGTGGGAAAGTGCCTTCCAGCACATTACCTTCGCGTATGTCAGGGCCTCGTGTGGCCAGATGCCCTAGCCAAGCTGCAGGGTCTCAGGGGAGCTGTGATGGTGGTGGCAGCCTCTCTGTAGCATCTCTGTAGAGCTGTGGGGCATCAGCACAGGGGACCCTGCTCAGAGCCCTGCAGTTGTGTCTGTGACTCACTTTCTAGTGAACACGGGCAACACAAGGCTGCACAGCCAGGGGAACAGGGCACTCTAGGCTCACAGATACTGGTGCAGGGGCACACGTGTGCACACACAAGCACACACATACACGTGCACACGTAAGCATGACCCTGCTCCCTCCCCCAAGCCCTCCCATGGGACCTGTTCCAGACGGAGCCTGTGATGGTCGTCCCTAAGTTCCCCAACTCATTCCGGCCCCCTTCTGAGCAAGCCCCAGCACTGCCCTGGGAGCCCTGTGCCCTGAGGACCTCCTGCTTGGATGTGGGGCACCCAGGGTCTATGTATTTTCTGGGGTATGGGGAGACCTCCTGGTCAGTGAGAAGAGAGGCAAGGTCTACCCTAGGTGATGGCCCCAAGCTGACCCCATCCCTCATTCACCTGCAGCATGAGAAGTACACCAGTCAGCTGCAGGTGAGTGTCAAGAGCCCAACACCCAGGAGGAGTGAGGCACCACCCGAACTCATGGCCTACTGTGAATCCTCGCACCCCAGGCCAGAGAAAGGGGACCGGAGACCTGGAACAGGTAGGCTGGGTTTGGGGACAGGACAGAAAAGCGGCAATAGAGGCACAAGGCCACATTCTGGCCTGCTGGTCCACATGTCCCCTGCACCATGATGCCCCTCCCTTCACCCTGCTCTACTCCACTGTACCCCGTGCCACTGAGATGTATCTTCCCATGACCTTTCATCTCAGCTCCTGCTCCTCCTAGGCCTGTGGCGTACCACATGTGGGTTCACACACACTTCCCAGCCTGCATTACCTCTGCAGTTGGTGGCCACCAGCTGACCAGAGGCAGGTGGGACGGGGTACCAAGCTGCCCACAGACACAGAGCAGAGTCATGTTGGAGCTGGCACAGACCTGGGTACCACTTGGTGGGTGGCAAGGGTGCTGCCACATGGGCCCAAGTAAGCCAGAGGGTTCAGGCTGGAAGGGGTGGGTCTGGGCTCCCCACTCTACCCTCACCAGGAAAGGCCCGCCACTGCCCAGCGTGGCTGCTAAGCTCTTCTGGGACCTTCGTTCCCTAAGTGGCAAAGTGTCCATCTGGAACCGTCTGGAACTACAAGCTGGGGACTAGGAAGGTTTCCTAGAAGTCACACAGGTGCAGAAACACTGGGCAGTGGCTAGACCCTGGTACACACAGCTGGTGGTGGTGGTGTTTCCAGCAGTTGCAGGGGCAGGGCAGCCCATTCTTCGGCCCCAGCAGCCAACACAGCATGCAACAAGCAGGAGAGGGGCTCGGGTCACAGCTTGGGGTGCACTGCCCATGGTGCACCCTTGCCTCAGTAGCTGGAATGCAGCACTAGGTCAGGAAAGCCCACCCCCCCCATTGACACTTTTGGAGAAGTCCACCTGGGAGCATGTGGTGCTCAGCTAGTGGCCATCCTCAGGGCCTCTCACTGCCCATCTGGTAAGCAGTCAGGAGCCATAGCTCCTGTGACTCAGATGGCCACACAGCTCCGGAAGTTTTAGAAGAGCTGGGGGAGCTGGGAAGGCTTTAGGCATTGGGCTGGTGCCCTGAAGTGTGAGCCACTGGACACCACTCCTGCCCAAATCAGAGCGGGAAAACCAGGTTTTGTAGAAATTATAATCTTCACTTCTGGCCAGTACTCAAACACTAAAACAAATATACAAAATGTCAATTGGGCTTCTCTGACCAGGTGGCTGTCAGCCCCAGGGTTACCCACTTGTGGCCTGGGACATTTCTAGAGGCCTGGAGAATGGCTGGGTGGGCAGTGGATTCTGCTACCCCTATCCCCATCAGGCCAGCTCTGGGGTGGGAGGGTCAAGCACAGGACTCCAGGGTTTACTTGCCCCAGGAAAGGCTTCCAGGGGCCATGCCCTCCAGGGCCAAGCCTCCCTTTGGTGGGCTCTGTAGAGACCCAGGCAGGAGCAGGCAGGTGAGAGGTGGAAACAGGCTCATTGTAGTTGGCAAGTGGCCAGTGTCTCTGGCAGTTGCAGGCCTCGGCTGGGAAGGGACACTAGGGCCTGAGTTCTGCCTCTACACAGAGTCAGTGGTGTACCGCACACCCCTGTATGGGCAGCCATCCTGGTGGGGAGAAGATGACAGTGGCACACCACCTGAGGACCGGCGCCAGGAGCCCTACCCAGGTGAGTCTTGGCACCCAGCCATGCAGTCCCTGAGACCAAGAGTGTGAGGGAGGGAGATGAGTGGGCCTGAGGTACCTGCACCAGGGGAGACAAGTGGGAGGTGGGGTGGCCCCCCTGAGGCCTGCTCTGTATGCCCCCAGAGCGAGCCAAGGAGTCGATGCAGCAGACCAGCGAGCTGGATGGCCCGCCAGCTGGCTTTTGCACCCCTGTTGAGCCTCAGGGTTACTCCTTTCGGCGGGAGCCCAGCTACTTTGAGATCCCCACGAAGGAGCCCCCACCACCACCATCACGTCCACCAGAGGTGCTGGAACATGAGGCACCCACCAAGGATGAGGAGGTGGGTGGTGGTGGGGCAGTGCCTGTGGTGCAGAGCCACGCCTCTTTCACCATTGAGTTTGATGACTGCAGCCCTGGCAAGGTGAAGATCAAGGACCACATCACTAAGTTTGCCCTGCGCCAGCGGCGGCCCCCTGGCAAGGAGGCCACACCTGTGGAGATGGTCTCTGCTGAGACCAAGGTAGCTGACTGGCTGGTGCAGAATGACCCAAGCTTGCTGCGTCGGGCTGGCCCAGGCGATGACCGGCACAGCACCAAGAGTGACTTGCCCATCCATACTCGCACCCTGAAAGGTCAGTACTCCCTGGCGCAGGGCCACCCGGGGCAGGCAGGTGGCCACCAGTGGGTCCCCAGGCACCTGTGGACTCTGCTTTGCAGTACATTGCCTGAGCTGCCTGTGCACAGCAGCTGGGTATCTCTCACTAATCTCAGCTGCAGGGGCCAGGTCCCCGTGGTGCAGGGGCCAGATCCCCTTACCCATGTGAGGCTCCAAGCCAATCGCAGTTCCCCAACAAGTTGGGTCCCTCTAGGTCACAAGCATGAAGACGGCACGCAGAGCGACTCAGAGGACCCCCTGGCCAAGGCGGCCTCGGTGGCTGGGGCCCCCATGGAGGCCAGCGGAGAGCAGGTGCGGCTGCAGAGGCAGATCAAGCGGGACCCCCAGGAGTTGCTGCACAACCAGCAGGCCTTTGTCATCCAGTTCTTTGATGACGACACGCCCCGCAAGAAACGCTCCCAGTCCTTTACGCATACCCCACCTGGGGACCCCAAGGCTGACAAGCGCCGGGGCCCGGGACCCCCTGATCGGGAGCGCCCAGGTGCCCCTGCACGTGTGGTGGCAGGTAGCTGTTCGGGGTCCCAGAGGGCCAGCTCACTGAAACGGGAGAAGACAGAAGAGCGGCTGGCCAGTGCCTCGTCAGCCGCACGGCCCCCAGTCCGTTCCTTTGGCAGTGTGGGGCGCCGCTCCCACCTGGCCCAGGACTTCATGGCCCAGTGCATGCGCGAGAGCTCCCCGACCACCAGGCCAAGCCCTGAGAAGGCGCCCCCGGTGCCACCCGCACCCCTGACGTCCTGTGGGGCCAACCCTGTGGCTGCCCCTGCTGTACCACCCCCTCTTGCTGAACCCCAGCTGCCCAAGGCACACAGACAGGACGAGGACGACAGCCTCAGTGATGCGGGCACCTACACCATTGAGACGGAGGCGCAGGACAGGGAGGTGGAGGAGGCCCGCAAGATGATCGACCAGGTGCAGCTGGGGCTCAGCTGGGCGGAAGCTTGACCAGCAGTGGGCGGGGTGGGGCCTAGGTACCCGCCTTTTACACCCCAGCTGGTCTGGAGTCTGGCCCAGCCAGGCAAGTGGATGCTTCTGGTGCTAGCACATGGAGTGGCGCTGCCCGTTGCCTCTGCCTCTTACCTTGCTGGGTAGTCTATTCCCCACCCCACTCTAGCTGACAGCCAAGTTGTATGTCCTCCATATTGGAGTGGGGCAGCGAGCCAGGCACTTCTGAACCTCTGTGGTATCTCTTCCTGGTAGGTCTTTGGGGTACTGGAGTCCCCTGAACTCTCCAGGGTGTCTTCAGCCACCTTCCGCCCTGTGATCAGAGGGGAGAGTGATGGAGGTGTGGCCCAGAGAATGGCCTTGCTGCAAGAGTTTGCCTCCCGGCCACTGGGTGTGGCCCCCTCAGTGGAGCACCAGGTAGGAGCCCACGTGGCCACGCTGGGAGGGGCAGTAGGAACAGAGCCATATCCTGGCTGGCACTTGAGGCCTTCATGGGGCTCAGCCAAGTCTTTCCCTGAGGGTGGCCTCACTGGACAAGTAAGCTGGGCACTGGCATGAGTGGCCACCTGGCCATCCTGGCTTCCCTCCTGGCTGGTGCTGCCCCTGCTGAGGGCACTCTGGTCTTCTCCTTAGGGCCTCATGGTTCCAGGCTGCCCGGGAGGTCAGAAGTGGGTGTCCCGCTGGGCCAGCCTGGCTGACAGCTACTCAGACTCTAGCCCTGCAGGTAGGTGATCTGGGGAGCCAGAATGACTGCGCCAGGCCAGCCTAGACAGCCCTGGGCACTGGCTACAGATGCAGCGTGCATGTTGCTATGGTTGCTGGAGGGTCAGGGTTATGTGCACAGGTGGACCTGGGGCCACTCTGACTGACCGTCCTGGCACTTTGCAGAGGATGGCTTGAGACACAGGGCGGGAGAGCCCGAGGGAGCCTTGCCTGTGCGCGCCAGACGCCTGCTTCCCCAGCTGCCCAGTGACAGAGCGGACAGCCCTGCTGGCCCAGAGGCCACTAGAAGGAATGGTCCTGGGCCGCCAGAGCTGGGTGTCGAGCAGCCCAGCCACGTGGTTGGCCAGGAGGACCTGGACCCTGACAGCCTCAGTGATGCCAGTGGATCAGATGGGGGCCGGGGCCCTGAGCTGGGCACAGAGCAGCAGGAAGACAGGCACAGGAGCCCCCAGGAGGGCCCGGCCTGGGCCAAGGGGCAGCGCCCACCAAGGGCTGCTGGAGAGCCTGCCCCCATCTCTTTCTACATTGGTGACCAGAATGAGGCCACTGGCTCCCAAAAACCCATGGCAGCTTCTGGGGAGGCAGAGGGTCCCGGGCGCGTGGGCCAGGCCAGACCCTCAGTGAGGGATGGCCTCTACATGAGCAGCAGTGGGCGGATGGTCATCCAGCTGCACCCTGGGCGGTCCCCCGAGCCCAACAGCTCCGGTGGCCCCACCCCACCCCGCGAGGCTCCCACCTTTGTGCGACAGGAGAGCTTTACTAAGGAGCCTGCAAACGGTTCCCCAGCACCTGGCAAGCTCCCACACATCTCCAGTCACCCACTCCTACAGGACCTGGCCACGGTCCGGGCCACACGCATGGATCTCCATGCGCAGGATACTCATCTGATCCTGAAGGAGACTGAGACAGCCCTGGCAGCCTTGGAAGCCCAGCTGCTCTCCAAGACTGTGGACAAAGAGGATGAGGGGGGCAGTACCCCCAGGCCCCCAGATGACTCTCTCTCTGGGGACTCCGATGTGGACACTGCCAGCACTGTCAGCCTGCTCAGTGGTAAGAACGGGCCCAGCCCGACAACCCCTCAGCCTCTAGGGTCACAGAAGGAGAGGCAGTCGTCTCCACCAGTGGCCCAGGACCCAGGAGGGGTTGCCTTGGGCAGCGCACGTGAACGACTTTCAGAGAAACAACATCGCTTGACCAGTCCTGCTGACCTGGGCCGCGGAGAGCTGGCACGGCACCTGGTAGCCCGGCGTGCCCATGGTCCCCGGGGGCCCCAGGACTGGCCTGAGGACCGAGGCTCCAATCTGACCCACCTACCCAGCTCAGACACAGTCACCCCCAACCATGAGACCCCAGAGGCCGCTGGTGCAGGTCGGCCAGGAGCTCGCCGGAAACCAGTGGCCGCCCCACCTGCCCTGGCCCCCCGGGAGGAGCAGAGCCGTGGCTGCACCAGTGTCCAGAAGGTGCAGCAGGCGCTGACGCGCTCCAACAGCCTGTCCACCCCACGACCCACGCGGGCCTCCCGGCTCAGGCGGGCCCGGCTGGGGGATACCTCTGACACTGAGGTCACGGATAGTGACCGGGGAGCCCCAGCCAACCCTGAGCCAATGAGCCGGCCAGCTGCTGAGCAGGCCAAGAAGCTATCCCGCTTGGACATCCTGGCCATGCCCCGGAAGCGGGCTGGCTCATTCACAGGTCCCAGTGACTCCGAGGCAGCCCCTACCCGCACAGGCTTCTCAGGCCGCAGTGTTGAGCTGTACTGTGCCAACCGCAAGCCCACCATGGCTGATGCCCGTGCTGCTGCCAGGAAAGCTGCAGCCACTGCCAGCACAGGCTCCCGCCAGCCCTTCAGCAGGGCGCGCCCAGGCAGTGCCAGATATGCCTCCAGTAAGTACGGGACACAGGAGGGCTGGCCGGGGATGGCAGGTCAAGTGGCTTCCTGCAGGTCAGCCTCAGAGCCCCAAAGGGATCTGTGCCCAGAGCTAGGTGGACACATTGTAGGGTTGCACACGTGTGGGGGCCAGGCATGCCTGCAATCCCACGTGAGCAGGGGACACTGAGCATCCCAGGACGGAGGACTCCTACTCCATCCCGTGAGCAAGGGGCCTGGGCCTTGGGCTGGCCCTGTCCCTCTGTACTTCAGGTTGGGTCCACCTCTGGGCGCCTGTCCTGGCCCTGGAGCCGCTTTGCCTGGTTTTGCCCTATGGAAGGTATAGGGTCATTTGTGCCTGTGTGGTGGGGGCCTCTGACACACTGAGCCCACAGTCTCGCCCTACTCTACAAGGTCCATGTGCACAATGCTGAGGGAGGGGCTGGCAGCCCCACGGCCTGCTCTGTACGCCACCAAAGGGGCCACACGTGCCCTGCCTGAATGGATTGGTTGAGGCCCAGGTGCTGTAGCCCTGCCCCTGCCACGCGTCCTGCCTACCACCAGTGCTATCCACAGACCTTCCTGCCTGCTGATTCCCTCTGGCAGCCGGGATGGGTTGGGGAGGCCTTATGGCTGTGGGCTGAGGACCTCTGCTTGGCTGACCCACTGTTCCTTCCCAACCCCACCAAGCATGCAGCCTCCCTGTCCACTTCCTGTTTGCTGTTTGGGGGCTCAGACAAGACCCTGGAAAGAACTCAGGACCCTGCCTGGGGAGCTGTCACTGAGGAGAGGCCTGATGAAGGCCATGAGGGTCCAGCCATTCTGGCTTACCTTGCCACCAGCTAGGCATGGCTGACCCTCCAGGAAGGCTCACTGCATCTTCAGGGTCTGCCCAGGAACCTTTACTGGTACCCAGGCATGGTCATCCCCCCATCTGGTGCAAGGCCCTGCATGACCCTGGGCTAGAGTGACTTTGTGGTCCCTGAGCTCAGCGGCTGCTGGTGCTTCTGGGCACAGGATGCCTGTCATGGCTCTGCCTGGCCTGCAGCGTAGGGCCCTCATCCAGAGGGCCCTGGGTGCTGTGGGGTGTTGAGTGCTGCTTTGTTCTGTTCTTGCTTCTGCAACCAATTCACTCCAAGGCACACGTCGTCGGCAGCAGGGCTCGGATTACACATCCACTTCCGAGGAGGAATATGGCTCCCATCACAGCTCCCCCAAACATGTACGCTCCCATACTTCAACAGCCACGCAGACCCCGCGGGCTGGCAGTGCAGGCCGGGCTCGTTCCCGAGCTCCAGGCCCTCGGGACACGGACGATGAGGAGGAGGAAACCGACCCCTACGGGTTCATCGTGCAGACAGCTGAGATTGCGGAGATTGCCCGGTGAGTGGGGCCGTCCTTGGGCAACTTCAGGGGGCTGCCCTCGGCTGAAAAGGACCCAAGGACGGACTGGCCAGAGGCTGTACTCATGGCTGAGTAGGATGGATGGATGGATGGATGTGGGTGGGCAGATGAGTAGATGTTTGGGTCACCGGGCAGATGGGTGGGTGGATGGTTCGTTCAGTAGATGGTTTAGTCAGTGGGGGGGGGGGGGGGGGGTGGAAAAGCAAGTCAGTGGGCAGATGGGTGAATGGACAGCTGTCTGGAAAGTTGGAGGACATGGTATGAGGACTCTGCCCAGGCTTTCGCTAGGAATGAGCCTGTGCCCACTACTGGGAGGAGTGGTACAGGTGCTGAGCAGCTGAGGGAGGCCCCTCACTGACTGGTAGTCAGTGGCCAGGCCCAAAAGGGTCATGGACAGCAGGTGTCCTGTAAAGGACTGAGCTTGTGAGTTGTGAGTGCTGGAGGCCCCCAGAAGGAGGCTCCCAGACGTGGCTGGCCTTGGGAGACCCCCACGTGGATGGGGACTTAGACGTCTTTGGCACAAGATGGCCACTAAGGCTATGGTGAGGCGAGACCATGGTGGGTCTGTGGTGGTGAGGATGGCAGGAGAGAGAACAAGGTGTGATTGGGCAGTGCCCGCAGTGGTAGATTCCCTGTGGCTGAATGAGAAGAGAGAATTCCCAGGGCTTGGCCGGGTCAGAAAGGAGAGAACAAGGCAGGGAACTGTGTGGGTTTCTCAAGGTCTGTGTTCCCCGAAGTGGACAAGCACGGCTGTGCCAGTCAGCCGGACACGGGAGGCAGGAACAGTGTGCCCCAGACAGAAAGTGGCCCAGGCATGGTACTGTAGGGCAGCCTAGAGCCAGACCTGGGGTGAGCACGTTGGGGGGAAGCGCTGTGTGGAGCAGGCAGTGTGGAGAGACTGGGGCAGAGCCAACTCATGTGGAAGGCTGGTGCAGCGGGGCTCCTGGCAGAAGGTCAGAGTCTGTCCTGTAGGCCCCTGCCAGGCTGTGGGATCACCAGCAGCAGTCCAAGAAAGCCTGGGGTGGGCTTGTCTCCCATGTGGAGAGCCACAGGGGACTGTGCTGCCCCTGCATGCTGGCCAAGGAGGCAGCTGAGCAGAGGACACAGGCTGTGGTCTCCAGCAGAACTGCCCTGAGGAGAGACCATGCAGGCTGGTACCTGGGGTGGACAACCAGGGTCTCGCTGCCACTGCTGCTCATTGCCCAAGGAATTACGTGCCCCCTGCAGTGTGGCCAGGGCTCAGATCCCCCAGCAGCCCTTGGGTTTGCCTGCCTTACCCCTGCTCAGGGTCAGAGCTCAAGGTACAGCTGCCATAGTCTCAGCCCATGCCCTCCTCTACCTCAGTTCCCTTGCTTGCAGAGGTGGGCACCGGTGGCATCCACCCTTTCTAATGTTGTCATATCTATACCTGCTACCATTTTTTGTTCTGTTTTTTTTTTTTTTTTTTTTAAATGTAATTGGTACAGGGTCTCACTACGCAGCTCGGTCTCGTAGTGATCCTCCTGTTTTCAGCCTTCCTAGTCTGGGATTACAGGCGTATGCCACCATGCCCAGTCTTAGTGGCCAGCTCAGCGTGCCCAGGGTCAGGGTCAGTGCAGCCTCTGGTGTCAGGAATCAAACCCTGGTCCCTGCACGTGGCTAAACAGGCACTTAGTCCGCTGAGCTATCTCACTGGCCCTCCTGCTACCAATTTTTTCTGCCGGCTATAGACTGAGCCAGACTCTGGTGAAGGATGTCGCCACCCTGGCCCAGGAGATCCACGATGTGGCTACAGATGGTGATTCGCTGGGTTCCTCTGGGCCCAAGCACAGCCCCTCCCTCGGGAGCATGCCCAGTACCCCCGCCTCGACCATCTCTGCCCGAGAGGAGGTGAGCCCTGGCCTCCTGGCTGCACACGCTTGGGGGCGACTGGCAGAGCACATCACCCCATGTGCCTTCTCCAGCTCAGCTGGCCACCAGCATCTGTCTGGCTTGGCTCCCCATGTCGCCCCTAGAGCATGTGTTCAGGGAGTTATGCGCAGCTCTGTGTGGCTGCCTGCACCCCTTAGCATTAGGGGGACTGGGTAGATGAGTCACCCCTCTCCTTCCCTCCTCCTTGGGCCACAGAGCCAATACTGCCTGCCTTGCTCCTGCAGTTGGTGCAGCGGATCCCAGAGGCCAGCCTCAACTTCCAGAAGGTGCCTCCTGGTACTCTGACCTCTCAGGACCTAGACCAGAACATGAACAGCCACGAGGATGCCTTGGGCAACAAGACGAGGCCTCGGAACCGCGAGGAGGCATGGTGCCCCCAGCCCTAAGCATGCTACTCAGCCATGGGGGGAGGGCATACGAGGCTTCCTGGGGCCAGCCAGGGCTCTGCTAATGCCGCAACCCTGCAGGTGATCTTTGACAACCTGATGCTGAACCCAGTGTCCCAGCTGTCCCTTGCCATTCGGGAGAACACTGAACACCTCACTGAGAAGATGAAGTGAGTGACAGCAGGGTCCACAGACTCACACAGCGAGGCCCAGCCGGGCTTGCACCCTAAGAGGGCTTGCAGCCTTCCGGGCCAGCAAGCAGCCCCTGAAGGGAGGGGCCCTGCCACCTCCCCCTGCCCTAGTCCCTGGCTCAGCCATCCCTACCCCCCAGGGCCAGACACAGAGGGGACAGTGGTGCCAGCCAGAGGGTCCCCATGTGGGGCTGGACTGGCAGGAGCTTTCTCAGGGGATGGTGGGAAGTTGGGGAGAGCCGGGCTGCATTTCTTCGTCTCTGCCCTCGTCCCCGACAGGCTCCTCTTCCAAAACACGGGCCGCACGTGGGAGGACCTGGAAGCCAGGATCAACGCTGAGAATGAGGTGCCTATCCTGAAGACATCCAACAAGGTCAGACCCCACCCAGCATGGCCCCAGCCCCACCCCTCCTGCCCCAGGTCAAGGTGCCACTCACCTGCCACCTTCATCTCTTAGGAGATCAGCTGCATCCTAAAGGAGCTGCGGCGTGTTCAGAAGCAGCTGGAAGGTGAGTGAGGCTGTCCTGGGCACGGTGACAGGGGCCACGGTGGAGGCCCCGCCTGGCCTCCCTCTGACCCAGCCTTCCCCACCCCAGTCATCAACGCCATCGTGGATCCCAGCGTGAATCTGGACCTGCTCACAGGAAACAGGGCTCCCACGGGCCCCTCCACTCAGGGGCTGGGGAAAGGCCCGGTCCTTCCTGCCCCACCTGAGAGCCTGCTGCCTCTGAGGGGCTTCCCGCCAAGGGCCACGTGTGGGCCCCCGAGCCTCCCAGAGCCCGCCTTCCTCTCTGACGCTGAGCACTTCCTGATCTAGGCCCCAGCAAGGCCAGGCCTCCTGCGCCTGCCTGTCCACCGCCCAACCTGCCGCCTGGCCACAGCGTCTCTGAATCCCCTCCATGTGCCACAGCCCCACAGGCAGGCACCTCTTGCCCTGCCAGCACCCCAGCCACCTTGCGCCCCGCCCCTCCAGGCTTCCTAGCCCAGCCCCTGGTGTGGCCAGTGTTGGGGCATTCCCCCCACCCTGTCATGTCATCGTTAGCTTTCAAGGAGAGAGTAGTCTGTGCCATGGCAGTGCCCAGCCCTGCCTGTGGCACCGGGAGGCCTGGGAGGGCTGCCCTGTTGATCTGCCCCTCCTTTTATGTTGGCCCGAGGCCAGGCATGGGAAGATGGTAGGCCAGGGCTATTCTGTGCCAAATGTGAGCTGGGGTCCAGTGCCCAGAATCCAGCTGCCAGTCAGGCATGTGGCCGCAGAGACGTTGGGGCAGGAACCCACAACTCCCAGATTTTGGTGCCAACACAACTGCCAAACCCCCGAGCTTGAGGGCTGCCAGTGGGACCCTACGAGTGGGCACAGGTGGGAGGACACAGGCAGCCATGCAGGCAGCCAAGGGCCCCTCTGCACTGCACCAGAGGTGTGGGGTGGCAGCCCCTCGGGGAGGGATGGCTTGACCAAAGTGAATGGAAGCACGTTTCTGGAAGCTTGTGCAGGCATGTAAACAGTGTGTCTGGTGCCAGCCGTGTTCTCCCAGATGCTGTGGGCATTAAGTGGCATGGATCCCTTGCAGAGGATGGCAGTGGTTCAGGGACAAGCCCCAAAGCGGTGACACTTTCTCAGGATTCTTCTAGCTGGGAACAAGCCCCTCTGCAGCACCCTTCTGCAGCCCCCAGCCAAAGAGCCAAGGCTGGGCTGAGCGGGGTGACTGCCTCCACTAACAGCAGCGGGCGCTAGTATGGGTCAAGGGCTGGCAGAGGCCACGGGCTGATCCAGAGGCTGCAGCGGCGAGGCCTCCCTGTTTACAGTCTGCTGTCGTGGAGCTGGGCATGGGTCTCGGTACCTGTGCCCGGCCCACTCGATGTTTACGTTTGTGTGCAGGGCGGGTGGCAGATGCCATCAGGCCCCACCCCGAGAGCCTGCCGTCCCTTCGGAGGAGGTGCTAGCTGGGCTGCCGCCCACCTGCATGCCTGCACAGTGGCCCACAGCCTGGCCCCGGAAACACAGTGGCCGCTCACCTTCGTCTGTGCTCCGCCCCTGGTCACCGCTGTACAATTTTTTTTATGCACATGTTGGTGTTTCTCCCCACATCAGTCCTGGTACTATCCCTGTCCCTGCCTGGCTTCTTGGCGGTGTCTCTACATTGTCTCAGGTGGTCTTGTGGATGTCTCAGAAAATGGTTATTTTATATGATTTGTCATGAAATTTGTTCTAATAAATCATTCTTGTATCACGTGGCAGCACACCAGGCTTGGGGCTCACTCCATGGTTGGGGGCAGGCATCTCCCTGGCAGGGCTGCTGGCAGGGGCAGCCCTGCCAGACACAGGAAGCTGCAATCTAGAGAAGCAGCCACCAGGTGGCAGCTGGGCTGAGGAAGGAAGGCAGATGTTTGCTTTAGAAAAGATGGTTCTTTTACTACAGCCATTCAAGGACACAGTGCCGAAGAGCGCTCTTTGAAGTAGGCCAAGTGCATACAAGCAGGCAGCAAAAGGGGCCCAGCTGCAGTGCCAGGAGCTCTTGGCAGGCCCAGTCCTCCCCCCTTGGTGGCTTGAGTGGGGTCTTCCTGCTATCTGCTCCACCTCCAGCTCCAGGTAGGCCCAGGCACAGGTGCAGGTGCTTCTGGTGCCGGGTCCCGAGGACAGCCAGCCCAGGGCTGCCCCTTAGCCAGGCACTGTCTGCTCCTGTTCTGGGCTGGCTGGTAAGCTAGGAACAGAGCTTGGCTGCCCTCTGGCCACCAGTGGGGGCAGTAGGGGCTGGGGCAGCATGGGTCTAGACTGAGGGGTACAACTGCTGTCCTGGTGCCCACCAGGCCCAAGTCCTCCTTTTTGAGCCTCACAGCCTGCCCAGCCCCTGTCCCCAGAAGCAGGCAGCTGCCTGCTCTCAGCCTGCCCAGCCCCCTAAGGTCCAGGCAGTCTGTGTCCTGTGTAGTGTGGAGGTAGATATACGGGCTACCCAGAAGCAGGGAGCTGCATGCTGTCTGCCTCCCCAGCCCCCTAAGGACCAGGCAGTCTGTGTCCTGTGTAGTGCAGAGGCAGATGTGTGGGCTTCCCAGAAGCAGGGAGCTGCATGCTGTCTGCCTCCCCAGCCCCACAAGGACCAGGCAGTCTGTCCTGTTTAGTGCAGAGGCAGATGTGCGGGCTGGCAGGCAGCTGGGTGCAAGCTCTGGCCTGTGTCTTCCCTTCTCCCTTCTCCCTTCACTCCCAGCAGTGGCCCTTGCAGAGAGCATGCGAAGCCAAGCAGCCTCTGCCTGTCCTGGGACGTCGAGACTGGGCAGTTGAGCTGTGGTGTCCACCAGCATGAAGCCAGGTCAATCCCCACAGCCATCAACAGGCTGCTCCTGGGATGACATTCACATCCTGGCCATGTGCATGGGTGGAGGCGGGACAGGATGGCTGCCAGGCTCCATGGTCTCTGGTGCTGGAGGGGAAGCGGGAGGCTGGGTCTGGTCCATGGGGAGCGAGGAAGGTGTGGCTCTAGAGGGAGGTAGTAGTTTGGTCTGCCCAGGGGTGGGTTGGGGCATGAGAAAGGGAGCCAAGAACAAATGTTAGGGCCCGCACAAGGATAGTGCTGCAGGTGGAGGGGCTCAGGTGGTGGTGGGGACCATGGGGCAGTGGAAGATGTGGGTGACCTGGTGAGCTCATGTCAGGGTCTGGGGGTGTTGCAGAGAGCAGGATTCGGATTGGAGTTTGAAGGTGCAATGCCTGTGGAGACAGAGATGGTGGCTCAGGGGCTCTGAGCCTGCTGTGGGTCTTTGGTCATTTGCACAAATGGATAAAACACACCGAGGCATAGATACATGAATTGGTTTCTGGTTAGGGATTTTTTTTTTTTTTTTAATGAGTTTAAGACAGGGTCTACGGGGTTTCACTACATAGATCAGACTCATAGTGATTCTCCTGTTTTCAGCCTCCCAAGCCCTAAGATTATAGGTGCGTGCCACCACGCCTAGTTTCAGACACTGTCTCAGCATGCCTCGGGGGTGGGGCCTGCACAGCATGCTGGGGATCAACCCAGCTGCTGTGCTCTGCTGAAGCAGGTGCTTTAGTCCACTGAGCTATCTGGCTGGCCCTCTGGTTTTGTGGTTGGCAAACAAACCTGATAGGCTCACATATTTTCCAAGCAAAAATCAATGGCTTTCTGAAAGCTTTGTTTCATTGTGGCATTTTGCTCGAATCCCCAGACCCCCCAACCTCTGCTTCTTGTCTGGCAGCCTCCCTTCTGCCTTCACGTAATGCTTCTTCTACAGCCCGTGTATCAGAAGTACACGGTGCTCATTCTGCATGAAGCTGCTTTTGTTTCACATGATGGTCTTATCCTGCTGAGTGTCCTGCAAGTGACAGAGCTGGGTTTCTCTTTAGGGCCGAATGGCACCGTGTGGCTCGTGCTTTCTTTGTCCACTTACCCGTCAGTGGGGTGTGGGCCAACTGCTTGCCACAGCAAATGGGAGTGCAGATAGAAAGCTGACTCGGTTTTCCTGAGTGTCTGGAGGAGTAGTACGCTGAATCAGACCATAGCTCTGTTTTTAGCTTTTTGAGGAATGTCTCCCTGATTTCTGCAGCGGCTGCCCTGACTTCTGTCCCCGCCAGCAGGGGAGCAAGGTTCCTTCCTCCCCGTGTCCTCACCAGGACGTGTTGTTTTTGTGTTCTGGGTGAGAGCCTTTCTGACTAGGGTATGATGGAATCTTCATGTAATGGCTACCGCTTTCTTCATATATGTAATGGCCATTTGTAACCATTTTGAAAAGTGTTTATTCAGCTCACTTTCCATTTATTTATTGGTTTAATTTTTTTTTTTTTCATCTTGAGACAGGGTCTTTCTATGTATTTCAGGCTGGCTTTAAACTTACTGTGTAGCCCAGGATGGCCTTGGACTCAAAGTGATCCTCCTGCCTCAAGTGCTGGGATTACAGTCCTGCAATACCACCCCCAACTTTTTGATTCTGAGGGTTGGTTTTTCTTAATGGTGTTTTGAGTTCTGCATACTGGATATTACTTCTGTGGGAGATTGACAAACTGTGGTCCCCTGAGAAGTGAAGCCACTTGCCTCCATCTTTCCCTGACCTTGACCTCAGCCCTATTCACTGAGGTGTGCCAAGCTGGCTGCAGAGAAGCAGATGTTTCCTTAATTGGCCAACAGACTATGACTGTGTCCAGCCCAGGTGACAGTGAGTCCCAGCATAGCAAGACAGCAGTGCACAGGTGGCAGTAGCCCTCGGCTGATGGCTGCAATGGGGCACGCGCCTGTGAGACTCCAGGGCTAAGACATGAGATGACGTCTCAGCCGAGGCCGTGGCTCTTCGAGAACTTGACTTTTCTGGCAGGAAACGTGCCAGCCTTTCAAACATCAAGTTCTCTGTCGCGCCACTATCTGGGGAGCCTCAGTGCCTGGCGCAAGCATGCTTTTCTCCTCCTTTACAAGCGATGTCTGTGAGTTACTCTTCTCATGTGAGTAAGAGTTACTCTTCTCTGCCAAGATGCCCGCCCTCCTCCCTGACTGGTACCAGTGAAAGCCATGGGATCTCTGGCTCTTGTTGCTTTCTTTCACCAAGAGCGTTATATCCCAGAGTCCCCAAACTGCAAATTTTTCTTTGTCTTTTTTTTTTTTTTTTTTTGCACCATATTGCCAGGTGAGAGTCCTGAGTCCTTCATGGGGTTTTGGTAACTGCTCTTTCAGAACAGTAGCTGGCAAAGATTTTTTTCCCACTCTATAGGCTGTGTCTTCACTCTGTTGACTGTTTACTTCATGTGCATAAGCTTTTTAGTTTGGCGTGATCTCACTCGCTGACCCTTGATGTTACCTGGAGCTCTGCTCAAGACATCTGTGCCTGTTTTCATATCTCAAAGTGTTTCCCTTGTTTTCTTCTTGCAGTTTCAAAGTTTTTGGTTTTATGTTGGGGTCTTTGAGCCATTCTGAATTGTTTTGTTTTGTTTTTTTTTTAATGAGGCAAAATATAAGGCTCTTCTTGCAGTTTTCTGCACGCGGGTATCCAGTTTTCTTGACACCATTGGTTGAAGAGTATGTATGCGCTAGCACATCTTCACGGCGTCTTTGTGAGCATCAGATGGCGGTAGCTGTGGGCATTTGCTTCTGGGCCTCCCGCTCTCTTGCCTTGCTCTGTGCTTCTAGTTTTGTGCCAGCACCATTATGTTTGCCTCTGAGGCTTTGTAATATGTCTTGAAGTCAGGTGTTGCCTTTTCCTCAGGAATGCTTTGGCTATTCAGGTTCTTTTGTGCTTCTGTATGAATTTAAGCGTTGTTTCTTCTAGTTCTGTGAAGAATCTATGTCATTGGTATTTTAATGGGGATTGCATTGAATTTATATAGTTTTCTGTAATATGAATTTTTAACAATTTTGATTCTGTCAATCCATGCACATAGGAACTCTGTCTTCTAGTGTCACCTTCGATTTCTTCAGTGTTTTATAATTTTCCTTTTAAACATCTTCTGCCTCTTTGGTTAAGTTTATTCCTAGTATTTTTTAAACTATGGTGAATAGAATAGTTTTCCTGATTTCTTTCTCAGAGAGTTCATTATTGGCATATAGAAAAAGTACTAATTTCTGTATACTCATTTTACAATTTTTTTTGAGACAGGGTCTCAAAATATAGTTCAGGCTACTTTTTTTTTCTTTTTTGTTTTTTTTTCTTTTCAAAGTTTTATTGATAAACATATAGCAATGAGACAGTTTCAAATCAAATCGAAAGTACAGTTTCAACAAATAATACA